AAAACGCAAATGCAAAATTCAGGATCAAGTTAGCATGCTTTTCGGTATTTGAGTATAATATTATTTTGGATACCCAGTATTATTTGATGGACGTACATTTCTTTCCCAACGCTTTCAAATTCACTTTGCATGCATTATAGGCATAAAATAGTTTGCATGAAAATATTCGATTTTTTCTGATTTTCCGCACCTCACGAAAATCACCATCACCTTGGCAACTTTGTAAATTGGCAAAAATTATTTAGCTACTGTTTCATTCATAAATAATAACAAAAAGAAATATTTTATAAGAAATAAGGAATTTATGGGAAAAAACAGAAACATTCGGGGAAGATTTTGCATTTTTATAATCAGGGTGCTATGGGCTTCATACAAGATTTCATTACATTAACATTTAATAATTTGTTTAGAAATACAATTTCAAATATCAGTTGCATAAATAAATATTACCATTATTGATGGATAACGTATATTCAATGAGTGCCGATTTATCGGCTTTAGATAACTGAAAAAAATAAAACATTTTTCATAATTATTCTTAGCACAAAATGTGCAAACGCAGAGAGGTATAAGTTTTTGGCATCAAATATGAAAATAGTAATAATGAAAATATGAAAATAGAATAATTAAGGCGAAACTCCGGAAACAGCTCCTCGGTGAATTTCCGGAAACAACTCTTCGATGCTGTAAGTTATTACAATTTGATCTTCATCATACCTCAGAAATTTGAAATAATCTCTAACTTCATTTCTTGGCACTCAGCTAAAGAAAGTCTTTAAAAATACATTTTAACGCAGGTTTCTAACTCCAGAATGTTTTTTCTGACCCTATTTAATAATGCAGGTATCATTTCCAAAAGATCAGGTTCAATCTCCAAACGCTCGTTTAATGACAGGTTTCATCTGTTGCCAATAAATGCATAAAAAAAGAGTCTTTTTTAGTGGTAAAACTGGATTAATTTAATAGTGTTTCATAAGATAAATAAGTTTTCTGATCAAATACAAGTTCTATTATACCTTATGTTAACCCAATCTCAGAAATTATCAGCATATTTTACTAACTTACGCATTTTTACTCTTATTTCCAGCAGCAATAAAATGGCAATGTCGCTGTCTGAGAGAAATTTTCTCGTTCTTTAACGTCCGATTAATATACTTAATGTCGTCTGCTTCCTTTTCTGTACAGCGTTTCTGCAGAATAGTATATTTCTTCGTTTCGTAGAACCTTCAAATTTATTCTTAATACAGTGAAAACCTGGTTCATATATTTAATTCGTTCTTGAAAGACGTTGATCAACCAAAATGTTTCGTAAACAGAAGCAATTTTCCCCATAGGATTTAACGTAAAATGGGTAATTCCTTCCTGGACCACAAATGATCGCATATTTAAACTTTACAACACTGCTTTGCGCACTCATTCGTAACCCCAAATAAATAAAAATCAGTAATTATTAAAAAAAAGTTGATCAAAATGTTAAACAGATAAAACAGACAAAAATTTAATTTAATTAAGGAGAGTGGACCGTACAAGTGGAAAATAATGGGAAAATTTGGTTGCGAAACTCCCTTCCTTAAAAAAATAATCTAATAACTACCTTTAGAAGGCATCTTATGTTATCTTTTATTTGTCTCTAAGCATCATTCGATGATGCTTGAGACTTATTGGTCCTCCATGTTACTCAAAATTTATTCCGTGTGACTTGTTGTTGCCTAAGTTTTAAATTGTTTCGAAAGTTGGACATGGTACTCATTGAAAATGCTTATGTTGTAGCTTGCTGTTGTTTTATCAGAGTAATATTATTGCGGGAAAACTTTGCATCTTAGTGCATTTTGTACAAATTCGTGGATTAGAGATCTAGGATAATTTTTTTCTTCCTCTTCTTCTGGAAATATTACTTCCTCCATCGTCTTTTGTTATCGCTTCTGAAGTTGTAGTTGCTTCTTATTGAGCTCATTTTTATAGTCCTTTAGTAACTTTTCCATTTCTTCATTATTAATTTTCTAGCCCATGGGTTTGCCTATAGATAACCAAAAAATGTCCTGAGCTCAAAGTTTTTGGCCTACAGCCCAATCTCGTCACTATTTTCTCCAGGCCGAACTGATGGTACTGTAAGTCATTTTGTTATTAAACTTCGTTAATAAGGGTTAAGCAACACAAAATATTAAAATAATGTTTCCAGATGTTTCTGAGTGTTAATTATGTGTGATAAGTTACTTCAAAATATTTTTGAAAATCGTATGTTGCTGACTTGAGTGATCGTAATTCGAGACACTTTTCGTAATCCGAGGCGTTTTTTGCTGAGATAATTTGTTCGTGAGCCGAATTGTTCGTGAAATGAGGATTTCGTAATCTGAGGTTACAGTGTATAGCAAGCATCGTTATTTAATCTTTCAATTAAAAGAGAAATCGCGAAAAAACAAGGGTCGTTCATAGATATCAATGATATATTCCGGATTGAAATTTATCTCATTTTTATTTTTTTCCACTAATAAAGAAACTATGGTAAGATTCTAGAGACATTAGGTATTTTTGGAAAAGCCGGAGAGATGAAAATGAGCAACCACCTTCGCCGGGAATCGAACCACGGACCTCTGGAATACCTGCCCAGCGTGCACAACCACTACACCACGAATCACGATAGGAAGGCGGAAGAAATATCTTATAAGCTGCCTCTGATGAAAAACTTGCTAACTATATCTGCACTGCTTAGCAGCGCAAAAGTTCCTAGAATGATTCCATTGAAGCAAATAGGCCTGTAAATGTTAGCAATTTTATCAGTAGGATTAGTTATTATCTAAGTATTATGACGTGAAAAATTTTATGCTATATTTTGAATATCATCTTGACATATATTTAAGTGTATAGCTAAAGAATCATTTTGACTTTAGGTTGGATGGAATGATTCCATCTTTAACAATAAAAGTGTTGCAATGATCTTTATATGTTGTACTTTTTATAAAAATTCAGATATGTCTCTTATTACTTTTAGTAATTTTGACTTGCAGTTACTGACCATTTGGGAAATCGAATAAACGTATTACATAGTAACAGTGCGACAGTTATGCACATAAACTTATGTTACCATTTACGTAAATATATAATGAATGCTTAAACTTGCAGTATTACTTTGGTCAACTTCTTAACAGCAATAATAAAATATTGTTTACATAAATTTTGGTTTTAAATCAATATCTGTATTCTAAAACTGAAATCTTTCTATATTACCATTGTTATTATTATTATTATTTTACATAACTGTGCTAATTTAGAAAAAGAGTAAGTCGGTTTTAAAAATACAGTTTTTCAAGAAACATATTTTAAAATGTAAGGAAATTCCCATTTGCCTATATTTGAATTTGATACACTGAAGTTATAATGTAATATAAGATGGCGGAGGACGAACTGATCCCTTAGCAAGGTACGAGACTCAGAAGCAAAATGATTTTGGAATCATTTTGCCATACTTCATTAACTGCGACTGTATGTACAGCAATGCCAGCAGAAAACTGCCACCTAATTTATTTAATTAAACAAGATCAGTTATTTCAGAAACTAAATGACAACAAGTGTACATTTAAAATATAATAAATAGGTGTACAGTAATTAAAAAATGTTTCTTTTGGCCCTATACAGTAAATAACTTCTGCCAGATTTCCACAGTAGCACTATGTGGACAGTATGCACTTACTCGAGATGTGAGATACCATCTCTTAGATCGTGCTACTAGTATACACAATATACACATATTATACATATAGATGTGTTATAATGATAAATACAGAAATTATAAATAATTTATGTTAATAAGTGCTTACAAGACAGAAGAGAAACACTCCTAAAATGAATCATAAAAATGAAACAACAACCTGTGTTAGGCGTAAATTTTTAGCGTAGAAACTCTACCGATTTCGAAGGCGAACAAAGTCCCTCTTCATCAGGAGCAAAGAAATCTAAATTCTTTGCTCCTGATGAAAAAGGACTTTGTTCGCCCCCCGAAATCTATAAAGTTAATTCTACGCCTAACACAGTTTGTTGTTTCACTTTTATGAATAAGTACTTTTCTTTTTCCAGGCTGTTTTTCCAGAGGTTGGACTGATAAAGACACAAATTGTTTTGTAGTTTATGGAAGTATTAAATTTCGTAAATTTGTGTTACTGTCTGTTCCAAAACAGGATGTTCCATTTGCTTCTCTCGATACACCAATTCCCTGACGACAATGTGCCGAAAGATGTAAATTTTTTGAAAATTCTTTCTTTATTTTTTATTTATTATTTGCTCTTTCTTTTTGTTTGCATCATTTATAGTGTTTTTTATTTTTTTTTGCACTTTTCAAGCATTTTATTGCATTATTTATGTCATTTCTGGACTAGTTTATTTATTTACAAATATTTATTATTATTATTTGTTTATTGCTTAAACAAATATTTTTTCAGATTTTTAATTTTTATATTGCATGCATCAGCTTATATATGTATTGGATTTAAACATTTTTTACTTTTTAAATATATGCGTATGGGGAGCATCATTTTTCCTTGACAGATCATTTTAGGAACCTTTGTTCTAGATTGGTCGAACTTTTAAGTAAGTTTTTCAGACAAGCACACTTTTCAGTTTTAGAAAGAATATTATTTTTGAAACTTTTTTTAAACTTGCTATTTTTCTGTATTCTTATCAAATTTTTTAATAAGTTTTCGTAACTTGGTACAAATTTTCAACCCTATGTTTGCTAAGAATTTTTATCAAATCAAAAACATATTCAGGATAACTGTTATCCTTTTCTTAAACGGAGACTGCATTAATACATATATTTATTTTATATTCATTAAAAATTACAGAACGTGAAGAAAAAAGCGTTGATTTATTCCCCTTAAAAAGTGGTTAAATATTTTCTTTCTTGTAGAACTTTTGTGTTAAAATGAATTAAAGAATAAATAGAATAAAAAGAATAGACAATAAAAATGTTATATAATTTGCTTATTTGTAGAAATTTTGTACGAAAATCTTATCAAAACGTATCATTTATTACAGTTCTGTTTTATAAAGGATTAGATTTCAAAACTCTCCGAACAAAAATACATATATTTTTTAAAATGTCGTTGTTAATTGTATATATTATTACAAAAATGCATAAGGACATCAGAGATTCCATTTAAGATATTTTACGCTGTTCGAGTAATTCTCTTTAAAAACTTTCTTGATTCGAACAATTCTTGCACCACATTTTCGTCAGTAAGGGTGCTCAGGTCTCCTATGTTCCTATCATTAGTTGCTATTTTTCGCAATATGCGTCGAACAGTTTTTCCTGATCTCGTCTTTGGCAATGATGTTGCATGGTGAAAGTACTCTGGGCTTGCAAATGGACCAATTCGATGAACAACTGTAAAGGTTAAAAAATTATATTAAAGAATTTTCTATATTTCAGAAAATGCAACAAGTTTTTCTAGTAAGACAATAATAAGGCGCACAGTTAACTATTTTTTAACTTATTTAATATTTTTCGGGACAACAGTCTTAAAACGAGCAAATCAAAATTGTTGTACATTTTCCGTAAGTTAAAATACTTAAGAGTTCGAAATTTAATCCTTAAATGCATGTAGTTGCCATTTGGAAACATACTCATATTCAGTTATGTAAATCAGATCAAAACACAAGTTTTAGCTTACTGCATAGTGTAACCATTTGGATACATACTGTTTACGTATATAGTTTTGAAAATTTCAGTGTAATACTAACGGTTGTAACGGTCATTATTGTGAGTTGATGTGTAGGTTGTGGATATCATTTGTGTTTACGAAATTTTTGATTTTGTGTTCGTTGACATTTTGATGTATTCAAAGTTTTAAAATTGTTTGAACAAGTTTAATAAGATATGCATTATTAAATAAAATTATTATTACACATTTGCCTATCATATATATATATATATATATATATATATATTTTGTAAAATGCAGCCATTAGGCAACAATAATATTTTTTCAAAAATTGGTATAAAAACTTAGTTTAGATTTTTTTAGTATGTTTCCTATTTTATTTGTTATCAATTCTAATATATTTTTCACTTAAAAAAATTTAAAAAAATCATGCATTTAAGGGTTAAGTAATAAACTCATTTTTAACCTGATGCGCAAGTGATTATTCTGTAACTTTCATATATGGTATACAGCCAGAGACAGGCCTTTTATTTCTAATACTAATAGTGTGAATGCTCATATAAATTATCAAATACACATGACATTAAAATGAACAGGAAAAATATTAAAATGTATATACAAATACTCTTCATATTACAAACTTTCGCAGGCACGAAAAAAATCTGTTCTCAAAGAATGGAATTTGTTCGGAATTGAACCAATGGACCAGAATGTGGTTGTCAATTAATCAATATATGTATATATATAGACGCTATATGCTCTCTCAGGAACTTAAAGATGTTGATGAAAAATCTGATATCACTTTACGGCATTTTTGGAAGGACTATAATATTTACAACTGTGCACGCAACATTCATAATAAATGGGGACATATCACAGATGTAAATATTAATAGCTTTTTGAAAAGTATGTGCTCTTGTCTTGTTTATAAAGATCAGGTCTTTAATCAAGATGATGAAAAGAAGAATGTCCTTGAGTTCTTGTGAGAATGTCTTTGTGAGTCCTTGTGAGGACATTAATGCGCAATTTACTCTAAACCTTCAGAAGAAGGATTTCGAACTGCTAGAGCAGGATTCCCAACCTTTTTTTCACATCGACTCCTTTTAAAATAATGAATTTTTTCATCGACGTCCTTACAACTTTCTCTATAACATACAGCCTACAACATAATCAAATACATATAAGTATGCATAAATAAAGATAACAGTTAGTCTAAGAATGTAAACAAAAGCTCTTAAAAACATGATTTATTAGATTTATGTTTTATTATTTTTAATTTTTCAATCATAAACAAGTTTTCAGAAACAAAAGTACAAGTTTTAATTGCACATAAGTCCAATTTTTATTAACGTGATTACTACGCTTGATATACTGATGCATTTTTCTAATACTTGGCATAATATTGGTTAAATTAATTCCTTTATCTTTAATCTTTAATTTAAAAAACATCTATTTTAAAAATATTCAACCTCTTTTTTTTCTATACATCTGGCTGCTTCTAGCCAATAATATTAGTTTGTTAATAATTTTTCTTTTGGGATATTTCTCTCGGATGACTTTCAGTTTCCAAAGCGTATGCATTTTGAATAAGACTTGTGCTTGAACATCTACCTTCAGTTCAATCAGATCTTCTTGCATCATAATATCAAGATCAAATATATTGTACGTCAGCAGTTGTATGACCCATGCTGGCACATTTAAATCTTTAGTGTCTTGGAAGCGAATATTAAAATCTTCTCTTAAATTTTGTAAGTTGTCTTGTATATAACGATACATTTTCTAAAGAAGCTCTGCGTTCTTCATATTTTTTTGGGTCATGTTTTCTTTCGTTCCTGTGTTTTTCTTTTTCATATTGCAGTTAATTGCATATATATATATGAATATCTTTTAAGAAATATCATTGATTTTTAAAATATATTAAATAATTTTTGTATATATTTCCCCTTTTATTTATTTTATATGATTTCTTCCTTTACTACATAATCTAGCTTCTAATATCAATCAATAAACAAATAGTTACAAATTTTATTAATATATTATTTGCAATTATTGTGATTTTGTTTAAGCCTATCAGTTGCCTGTGCATAGCCGACGTCTTGATCATCATTGACCCCCTTTAAAATTTCATCGAGCCCCGGGAAGAGTCAGTACCGACCTCGTTGGGAATCCATTTGCTAGACTCACACGGGGAAGTAATGGTTATCGAAGAGTAACAAAGAGAAGAGGAGGCCGAGTCTACGTCAACTGAAAAGTTCGAGACAAAGTTAATGATATTAGTATTTTTTATGTTTGGAGAAAACTTCAGGTTTTTATAAAATCGATAATCTAGCTCTGAGAGGCTTGCTAAATGAAAACCTGCCATGCACAATACCTTACATTACTATTAAAAAAACTGTTTAGACACTATTTTTTTTTAACTTTAGAGAGTTAGAACACTTTAGAGATTGGTGTTCCTGGTCCATTTGACATACCAACTCCTTTTGTCTCTCATACAGCCTCCTCATAACAAATGTCACCGTTACTTGTAAATAGTTTTCAGAGAGCGAATCATACTTTGACAACACCCCGCCCATGTAAGAATCTAAGCCTCATCCTCACCATATCCACACATGCCTCGAAATTTACAATCCAACGTACGTACTGAAACACCGTAAAGAAATGTTTTATTTCTTATGTATTGTATTTAAAATTTAAAATGTACTATTTATTTGCTTTAGTATTTTTAGTTACTTAATTGATATTATTTATACCTTTTATTCACGAAAATCTTTAGACGATATACGTAGCGTATTTAGTGATACTTTACGTACAACTTCATGGTACGAATGGTTGTTCAGAACGCAATTCCTTTGTGAGGTGGGAAGTGTCTGTATGCTGATTTTTGAAAATTTTTTATTTTTTTAAAACTCTTTCTTTTCTAATGTGAAAATGCGTTAAACGCGTTTTGGAATAGTGCTTATCCTAAGAACGTCGGGCAAGAAATGTCAGAATTGGCTATTTGCAAAGCCACATGCGTAAGTAATGCTGTGGCAACGTTATGTAAGGGGAAGCGAAAAATGGAAAGTCTACAATGCAGACGCTTCTAACATCCAAAAGTAAATCGTGATTTGAAAAATTAAAAATTTTAATGGGGTAGTACGTCTTTTATAAAAATAGAACTATATAATTGATTAGTTCATTCGGAAAATAAAACTTTATTAGAGTGCCGCGTCTTAGAAACACACACGTACGATTAATTTAATTATTTAGAACTTATATGGGATATTGTGCCTTTTATGAAAAATAGAAATAAAATATTTATCACACTGTTTGGAAAATTAAAATTTAAGTAGAATATTGCCACATTTGCAAAAAACTTGAAATAAAAGTAAATTATTTGAACAACTGGAACTTAAATGACATTGCCTGTTTTATAAAAAAATAGAATATACAAACAATTAAAAAGGCTCTAAATCTAGGAAAAGTTTAGAAGACTAATTAAATTTTTGTCGAAATTTTGAAAGACATTTTCATGACGTGAGACTTCTTCCTGACATTCAAATATTTTCAAAATCTTAAAAAAAAAAAAAAAAAAAAAAAAAAAAAAAAAATTACGTTATAAACAACACCTCTTCAAGGTTTCTTTTCGAGAATCTCTGTTCTTTATGACATGACCGTATATTTGCTTCCAGCAAACTTCATATTTGACGTGAGCATAAAGTTGCCTGATTCAATATTTATATTTTCCACTTTTTACACATAACAGCTGATGTGTATGGGCAGGAAACATGTACTACATAAATTTTCTGAAGAGGATGGGGTGATATCAGGGGAATGTACATGTGTTTATTTTAAAATGCAATAGTAAAACGGTACTGACTATGTGAATAAAATTATATCTTCGTATATTTTTGCTGTAGTGAAACATATAAACAATAAGCGTTATATTTGTATGTTCCTTCTCAGTAAAATTAACATCTGCATTTTTAACATTTTAAATAATATTATTAAAGGCATTAATAAATAATAATAATAATAGTAAGTTATAACTCTTATTCAGCAATATAATAACTGTATACCTATAAGATAAACAATATGTCAAATGATTTTTAACTTTAAATTGTAATAATCTTTTAAATTTCCTTTCAAATTTCTGCATTTTTATCCTAAAAATAACAACATGGTTTTAATAAATTTCTCTGAACTGCGTCATTTTATAAATAATCCTTGTCATACGATTCTCATGTAATGCTCATGACGCATATGTACCTACATAAAGTAAAAAATCTTTTAGAAAATTATATAATGATAAATTTTGAAAAACAAAACTTAATTAACAAATAGAAACGAAGTGGAACAATAATTTCACTAACATTCATATTGTAATTAATGTATGCATTTCTTCTCAGCTTCTCTGTGAGATGTAAAAAATACAAACATTATCACGGAAAAACGGGTGCGCATTTTGCTTCTCTTTGAGCTGTTCATTTTATATTTAAGAAGAATAAAGAATAATTTTGTGAAGAATAAAGAAGTATTCAACCAGCCGTGATTGTTGCTACTTCTTTATGTACGAGTCCTATCATCATGCTATGCGTCACCAAATTACAATTTGTATTACATACATATATTTATTTGTACGCAATGAAAGGAGGAGTATTCGCTTTATAATACGGTGATATTATGGATCGGTGGAGGATTAAAGTTTTAATAAAAGCGTGCGGACCAACTATGTAGCAAACAGTAAACGAAAGAGGGAGCGCTTTCAACCCTTTCATTTACTATTTTTATTAACTATATTCATGGAGCATTTTACCATTGAATAAATAAATAAATAATAAGAAAACCCGATTATGGCTATCTGATAAAGTAAATCCTTATTATTTAATAAAATCAAAAGTCATTTCAAACTTACACGTGCATTTCATTTTGAGCCTAAAATGCTGAAAGTATTGAAAATGCATTTTAGAAATATTAAATTTCTTTCGGAGCTGGAAGTATGAAAATTCAGTTATGCTCTCGACAGAAAAGCACAGATCTTCCAATTGTTAGCTACTTACTTTACAAAAGCATGCACGGAGGAACGCAGTAATTTCTGACATCTTTCCCCAATTAAAGAGCGACTGGAGAGAGAACGAGATCTAGTCGATCAAAATCCAGGTGGTAACGAATTGTCGTCCACCGAATTTTATTCAGACGCCACTGCAGAGATCATTATTATTTTTTTTCCGGGGCTGCGGGTATCAGAAAAGAGATTTCCGACATTCGGAAAACGAATCTTTCTGTACTTATTTCGACGTTCAATCAGACACACCCCGGGGAGCGCGCACGTAGGGGTATGAAAATTCTTTATAGCGTTGCCGTTTGAAAAAGAATTTTACCGCTTGAATAAAATTAAATGTTACACACATACATATATACACAAAGATATTGAAGAGTACAAAGCTGTGTTACTGAAAAATTCCTTCATAAATGTTAGATTTTATTTGTGATGTAGACAAGAATATACAAAAAAGAAAAAGAAAGAGATTTATAATCTACATAAAGACATTATAACTTTATTATTATATTATGGTATAAAATAATAAAATAATATTCGTTGCATAATATTATTAAGAACTAAATATAATATTACTTTGAAAATAATTGACTTTGTTGCGCTGATGGTGAAAACGCTTTTAAATACGAAGATAAATAAAATATCTTAGGCGTTGTTGATTAGCAGTGACCAACTGAATATCGATCTTTGCAGGATGGGGGAATTAAGAACATTAAAAAATAACAAAAGGCTGTAATAATATTATTATCCTCTTTAAAATCCCTGGTTTAATATTAAAATACTCATCAACAGTAACTTGTTGAGGTCAAATTGTTCTACTTTGTCAGATAGTTTTATATTTGTTGTCATATTACTATAAATAAAAATTGTCAAAAGTTCATACCTTGTTGTCGTAATTCTTGAACCAATTTCTCATCAAACTGATATCCCTAAAATAATAATAAGAAGAAGAATAAGAAAACATCTGAAACGTGATGCACACATCTGTAAAAAAATTAGTGAGAATAAGCTATAATGCGCTCATTTGCTTGTGTCATTTGATATCGTTCACGAAATGCTTTTCAATAGTTTGAATAAATATTTCTGCTTGCAGAAAAGTTTGTTATAAATGCGATTTAGATTTTGTAAATGATTTTTCTGCATAAAGCAGGAGCCACTATTTATCTTGCCCTATACTAGGCTTTCAAAGCATATTATTACGAAATGTCCACCGGCGGTAACATAGCTTCCCCGAAAAATGAGTTTAGGGTTGCCAAAAATAGAAAAAGGGAGAGCAGGGTTGCCAGATTTGGCGCGAAATCGCCCATTTGGCGACATAATTGGAGATATGCCATAGACGGCTGGAGAACATTCTAGAACGCATTCTTACCGGTTTGGCCCAGAATGTTCTCGAAGGCAAGCCCAAAGCGATAAAAACCCTGCCTCAGAAGCTGATGTACAGCTTAAGCAAAGTGTTCCAGTATTGCAGGAAAATAACTGCACAAACCAAGTGCGTGTCTTATAATACAAGCTGTACAGATACAAACTTGACTATCAGAATACTTGTTTGTAAAGAATTGGATTCCATTCAAAACTCTAATGCAAAATTTGGAACTAGTTCCCAGGAAATAAACGAAAATGATCATATACCAACTGCTAAAAATACCGTGATAATTTGTTACCCAATGGAAGAGAAATTTGTTATCTCTACGTTGAAAACCATAAAAATGTATAGCAGCTTGACGATATCATTTACCTAGTCTCACAAAGATCCAAGTGTGAAGAAAATCATGACAAATAAAAATGCGAAGTTTAAAATTTTGTTTAAATTAAATTAAAAATTTTGTTCAAAAAATAATTTTACTTTTTAAAATCTAGAATTAAAATTTTTGTACATAAAATTTAATTACTTTTAAATAGTACTGCAGTTTGGAAGTTCTCCTGAAAATAGCCCTGGGCACATCCTTTGTCCTTACACTAATCAGATTCTGTCTCCACACATTTATTCGGAGAAAAACGCTGATTAAAATTTTTGGCTCGGTTGTTCTTTTAAAAAATAAAGGGATACTGCTTTTAGCTGATGAGGCATATGTGGATAAATTGGAACACAAACATTCCTTTAAAGAAACTAATGGTTGTTTTCTTGATTGAAAACAATGAACATACAGCTTTATTTATGAATTTTATTTTTGCTTACACCAACAAAATTTTTCAAATATCATTTAAAATAAAGTATGTAATGAAGAAAATTATATATCATTACCGACTGCGAGGTATGAAAATCTTAATAAAGGGCTTGCACTTTTTTTTTATAAAAACAAAATATCAAAGTCTAATTAAATGGTTTACTTTTTACTGAAACAGAAACCAGAAATTATTGTGCGCGAATGAAAAATCATTAAAAAAAATCTTAAAAAAATAATCACAAAATATAAATGAGATTGCATAAAATAATGAATAAATTCAATTATGCTGTATAGTTTATGCTAGAAGCTACTATACACTATTTTCATCTTTATTCACGTCAGTTTATACACGAGGTCCTAAGGCCGAGTCATATTTTAGGCTATTTACAGTGCGTTTGAGTGAACTTTGATGAAACCAAATGAGATCCTCCTGAGGAAGAGACTACGCAACAACTAACATAAACATAAAAACAAAGGGCTCGTAAATTAGACCCGGATTTAACAAAGGGCATTTAAGAAAATTTTAGAGCTCTTCACTGGTGACACCAGATGCCATCATAATAGGTTGCTTCAGCTCCTGATAATGTACAGCATTGAGACATTGCAGAGTTACTTTAAATTAAGATTCAAACTTACGTCTTTCAAAACAACAAAACAGTAGAGGCATTCTCCTTTGACAGGATGAGGGTGAGGAACTACGGCAGTTTCGGCTATGCATTTGTGCCCTACTAGAGCAGCTTCGACGTCCATAGTAGATAGCAGATGGCCTGATACGTTCAACATATCATCTACTCGCCCTGTTACCCAGTAAAACCCATCTTCATCTCTGCGACCACCTAGAAAATAAGCTCTTGTTATTTTTCTAAAAACTTAAGGAAAGAAAGATCATTATTGAGACTTCTTCTAATCTTTTACTTACATTTTCTACCTAAAATTTTAATCTTTCATCATAATATTCTTTTAGCATGGTGATTTTACTGACCTGCAGTGTTATCTGGACTAGAAAATTTTCATCCACATTACTGACAGTCAGTCTGAATTCTGCTAGTCTTTCGTGGAATATTTTTAGAAATTACCGAAGTTTTTAATGAAAATTTTGATTTTTGTTCTTCACTGTATTATTTCATAGCAATTTTATAATTTTTATTAGTCAGGAATTTTTACAATCTTATTATAAATTCATAAAAGAATCTTAAATTTGTATGAATTTATAACGTTTTTTAAATATTCATACTGCGTTAGTACAAAACTGCAGAGTTTAGCAGTTTGATATTCTTTCATGAATCGCGCTGTTTGAATCTCACAAGCTGTAATATTTTCTCTTGAACATTAAGACTTGTTCTTTTTACGAACTGAGTTGCAAACCAGATAGACAATGACTTACAGATTATTCTACCTAATTTTTCTTTCTTTCTTTTTTTTCTTTTTTTTCTTTTTCTTTTTTTTTTTGCTGTACATAGCAGCCCTCAGAGGGAGTCACTAAAACTTTTTTTGGACTAGAATACATCCAAACTAATGTAACCTTCCCATATTATTCTCTTTATGTAATTATTATTATAACGTAATTATAAATAATCTTCATTTCTACTTTTGTAATCGGATATCAGACATTATCAGAGAAGATTAGAAGAATCGTCTTAAAAAAAAATATGGGATATTCGAAAATGGGGCACATTTGTGCTATTTTTAAACCAAAGTGTGTTGATTTTTTTGTTTCACCAAGGTAACAATCTAGAAAAACAGATCACATATGCTTCTAGCATGCATTTACAAAGTTTGTGCGGATTGTAAAAATACTCATGGATTGAACGAAGTGGATCAACGTTTTGATTCCCATAAAACTGCAAGAGGAATTTTAACATTATCCTCAAACATTCATTTCTAGTATTTCTTCTTTTATAAAAGTTTGCTTAAAGCATTTTGATATTTAAACCAGTTTACTGAAATAGCAGTAAATAGGACAATTTAAACATGCAATGTTAAGGTATTCTAAGAATAGTCTACCTATCGAAACACGGAGTTAACATTCATTGAAATGAAATCTTCAAATTAGAGATTCTTAAGACACTGTTGAGGCTATGCGTGAGAATCGATAGAATAAAGAAATTGAAGCTGTAGTTTTGTTTCATATTTGTGGATTTAATACATTTTGGTACATGAAATTGTTTTACTGAAAAGAAAATAATAGCAAATAAAAGTGCAAATTGATAATGTACGGAGTTTCCTGCTTGAATAGGAGAAGGAAAAGCAAGTCATATGTGCAATTAACATATATGTGGTAAACAGAATAGCATATTATCCAGCTGAAAGCTTGAAAAAATTTTAGGCTATATTAAGTCAATTAATTTAACAAGAATTTAATTATAAATATGACAAAAATACATAAGGTAGTGATGAGAAAGTAACGCAGGATTTTAGTTCGCTATAATTAAAGTGCATAAAAGTATCGGAAATTTACTATTCTGCAACCGAAATTTTTAAGGATTTCTATAGTCTCGATACCATGCCCTTTCTTTTTTAGCTTTATTTAATTAAAGTTTCATTAATTTTATTCATAGATAAATAGTGTCTTATGATTATTATGATAAGCTGTGTGGTCATATCATGCTTCATAAGGTTCAGTTGCATGGAGCTCTGTAGAAGCAAGTCGAAAGACATTTTTATATATATTCAGGTCTTTATTAGTGAGTGTGAGTGTCGTAATTGGTTTAAAAAGCTCTAAAGTGAAAATATTGAGGATTAGTCTAGAACTGGGTAACCAAGAGAGGTGGCAGATTTTGATGGAGACAAATTCATATATTACAAGGAAAGAAATAATTCAGAGGATTAGCTGTGCGCAGTACACAGCAACAGATTACTTGAAATGTATAAGAAATTTTTTTTGAGTTGATATTTGGACTTTACATGCACTAACAGCTAAAAATCATTATAAATAAGTATCGGCTTGTATTTCTCTGTTCACAAAAAATACAGAACCTTCCTTAAGCGGTATTTGGATTGGAGATGGGAAAAGGTTTCTATTTGTTATTTATTTTAATATGCTAATGTTATTCAAAAATGACAGCAGTTAAGTCCAAAAGCAAAGGCAATTCTTATAGGAAAATCAGAACTATCCAAAGGAGGTCTTCTGTATTTACGAGGATATAGAAGGTATAGTTCATTTTAATATGTTAAAAAAAACTAGGTCATTAACGCAGACACCTATTGCCATCAATTAGATAACATTGTAGAGTCATTAGGTTAATTGGAAGCAGAAAATGAAAATATCACCGCTTCGCCGGAATCGAACCACGGACCTCTGGAATACCGGCCCAGCGTGCTACCGTTCACCCACAAGGCACGTTTAGGGAAGTGGGAGAAATACCTTATAACATGACCATCAAACTTTCCCATCAAAATATCTCCTTGATCGCAAGGTTGTATGGTAACTCGATAGAAGTTTAATAGGAGTTTATTAACTTTAAATTTTTAGTTACCCATCTAAGAGTTTAGGTATTGTCTCTCTTCAGTTATTACCAGTTCAGGTCAGTGTAGCATGTTTTTGTTAGTAAAATTTTCTAAGTAAAAAAAGGCCGAAAATGTAATAAGTAGATATTTTGAAGGAAAACCAAAATCATTCTTTAATAAGGGATTAAAATACTGCCTGACAGATAAGCAGAAATCATAGAAAAACGATTAATTTTATATTAACATTTAATTCATATAACAATTTTTTTTTTAAATTTCAGTTTGTTTAACTAAATGGTCGATTATTTTTTTATCAAACTAACGCCTAGAAACTTAAACAGCATTTATATCTGATGGACGGATTTCATCAATTTAATGTTTTGAAGAATTTTTTGAAAATAATCTATTAAAAATATCTTACCGTCTCCTGTGAAGTAGTAACCAGGGAATCTTCTAAAATATGTGTTTTCAAATCTTTCGTGGTTTCCATAGACTGTTCTCATAATAGCAGGCCAAGGCCTTTTGATTGCCTGAAAGAAATGGGTACATATGAATTTTTTTGAATTATAAGAGTTTTGTGTTGTGCAACCTTCTCAATGTAATATTTATATTTAATTAAGTACAAAATTCGAGTGAAGCAGTAAGTAGAAACTAAGCAATCATACATAATATATGCTTACAATCGGAAGCTAAATGTCTGTAACTGTACACAGCTGAAGGGAAATTACTTTGCTTAAGGAGCATAAGATTTAATGGCACAGAAATATTCTAGTGAAAAATTTCGAATTCACTTTGCTCTGCTCCCATTGCCTTTCAATATAAGAATGATTTCTAACTTACAGTATTAAGTATATTTGTTAGAAATGCTTACTTGAAAACCCACATTTTAGCACAATAAATATGATGCAAATATTAGGTTATACAAAAGTTTACTATATTAATTTTATGACTAGAAAAATTTTGATAAATACTAAATCAGTAACTAAAAGCATAATTTCGCCTTTTATTTTGTAAAACTAACTTAAAGATTTACGTTAATGTATTTAACCGAAGCATTATTTCCGATACGCAAGCACAATGCGTATTACAATATTATATTGTAATCATCAAGACACTAATGAAATAAAATTAGATAATTGAATAATTTGGTTTTTAAATTATTCTCAAAAATACAATATCGTATTTTTTGGTAGCCATGAAGAAATGACTTAACTAGTACCGACAACTTAGAAAAAAAGCTTGACTTGCTCGAACTTCGAAATGAACTGATTTGAATGTTTATAAAGTAGTGAGTAGATGTTTATAAGTAGTGAGTAGTATTATAAAGTAGTGAGTAGCTGAAATGACTTTATATTAATTCCCATTCAGTTAATTGTATTTTTCAATAATTTATTAAAATAGTTTTAAGGTAAAGCTGTAATCTATATTACATGTAAAATAATTTATTGATTTATTCGTCCAAATGAACGGATATTTTATCTAGTGTTAACCACGCTGAATTTCTGTGAAATTAGTAAGTTTTTAAATATTAGCTGTCTCAAATCTGGATAATCTTAAGAGCATTTAACAATTCGGTCTTTTACAAAATCAGCTTTTAGTAAAAATTTACTGTCTGGCAGTTTAAAAATTAGTCCGAAAATTTTAAAAATATGCAAGTCATTTTTACTTCCTTGTACGAAGTAAAAATTAAGTATTGTAATCGAGAAAAGTTTCAGGCAGCATATTTCAACGAAAAATATCCATTTTGACCGCTATCGAATGCAATTTAGCGATGTTTTTTGCGTGATATCTGTACGTAAGGACAGAATAAAAGACTCGTTTCCTCCAAAAAAATTATAAAATGCTTTCAAATTAATTCTGAAGAGAATTTTTCGTGGCGTCTGTACGAACGAATGTACGTACGTGCGTAGGTAAGTACGTACGTACGTATCTAGCATAACTCAAAAACAAGTATCCTCAGAACGTCGAAATTTTGTATATAGGACTGCTATTTAACATGTAGACGTGCAAATCGTATTTGGTTGCAATCGGTCGCACCCAAACGTATATAAATATATTATATATAATCCACTCTGTTACCCGGCTCAGTGATCTCAGTTTCTTTACTCTTATATGTTTGTAAATTGTACATTTTCTGCTTTAAAAATTATTGTATTATGTGTTTTATCTTCCGGTTAAGGTTTATATGCCTTTAGTAAATTTATATGCAATATTTTTAGAATTATCAACAATTTTAAAGTTGTCTAAGTGCCGCTAAGCCTTTTTTTTATGGCGGCCATTGATGTTTACATTTGAAACAGGAGACTAGTGGATTTGTTGCCAATCTTGAGAAACTTAGCTTCGCAACAACAAAGATAACGCATTCATTTATTATTGCCAATTAAATCATGCTTAATTCTTTCTGTAATTTTTTCGAGGAAATAAGTGTTTAAGATTTACTTCGTAATTTTTAATATAGATATTTTGAGTTTTATGTATTTTTGCCTTCTCGCGAAGTGAGAACTGAATTAATTAAATGAGAAATACTCAATGGTCTGTGAAAAAACTGTTTCTTTTTGTTTGTTTGTTTAATTCTTTTACATCATTCTAGCTTTAAGTTCAATAAGTTTAAATGAAATGCAAGAAAAAATGCGTATAATTTAATATTCCGTACAAGGAAGTCATGTGGTGTACACATCATATTTTTTAAATTGTAGGCTTAAATGTTTTATTGAAAGAAGATATAACGACAAGACATCATAATGTGCAAATTTATCAGTTATACTTTATATTGCATTTTGCTTCTCATAGATTTAGTGCATATTCTAGTCAACATACCAAATACGCTTATATAAATCATTAAAATAAATTTAAGGTACATAATTGTAAAATTATTACCAAATATCCTTTACCCGGACCTTCGATTTCTTCTCCATCTTCATCCAAAATAGCAGGTTCAACACCAAAGAAAGGAAGAGACTGTTTTTCAATAAAATAAAAAATAATTATTTCTTAAACTTTTATTCATGCATTAAATCAAACGTCCTGAGTTCTAAAAAACTTTTCAGTATTCTTGATCTATTGAATAAATGGCACAGAATATGATAAGTTTCGTTTTTAGTCACAAAATACAAATTTTTCAGTAAAAACGACATGGAAACACCGATTTGTATTTTTATATATTTCTAGCTTTTTAACTCCGTGATTTTAAATTTAAACAGCACTACATTTTTATTATTAAAAGCATGTTTGAGTCAGAACATGATTTAAAGATTTGTAAATGACTATTGATGTTATCATTGAACTGAGGAATCGTCTTAATTCAAATTTTAATATCTTACATATTCTAAAATTTCTTTTTATGTCTGCGAAAAGAAATTTAAGTATATTATTTTAAGCATACACAGCAAAGATATTATATTAAAAAATTCTTTAGTACAGAATAAATTTAGATAGGTTTTATATGCTTTGGGCCGCACCGGTGAAAGCAAATCGTGAGACAAAGTGTAGTGTGAAATCAAGTTTGAAATGGGTATTATTATATATAATATTAAAATTTTTTATTGGTGTAATAAAGAAATTTAAATACCTAATTTTTCTTCTTAATAATAATTGGTGGTCTACGAGTTTCTCCTACATGTTGCTAACTATTATTTGTTAATTATTACAAATTCCAAAGAATAATAGAAAGCTGTAATTTTAACCAACTAGTTATGGAAATAGGAAGGCAAACTGAATCATAAGACCTATCTTTTTGTGTGGAAACAGTATCACGAATATGACACTGAAGTATATTAAGGTAGTTTTTTTCTGCCAATACTATTTTTTAATTCTGCTTTTTGATCATTTAATCATCAGAATAGTGGAAAAAGGTATTAAAGAGAGATTAAAAAATTTATCGAAGTCATGAAGAGTCTGAAGACAAATACTGTATCGAAGGAAAAAAATCTTGGACGCTCTAAATCTCTAGATATGTCTTAGCAGAAATCATGACTAAAGAACGATATATCTTTTTAGCCCAGAAGGGCTGTTAAAGTCCCAGTTTTTAGCCCAGAAGTGCTGGAAGTCTCGAAACGGCATTTTGCGTCGAATTGCTTTAAATGTCTGAATTACTTTTCAAATTTTTGCCACCAAATATTATTGCCCTGTATTATATTTAAAGAAATTAAGCAATGAAGAAATCTGTATGAATGAATGTAGGTTGGCCGCTCAGACGTTATAGCGGTTAAGGGAGTCTGACTGCGATACCGAAGAGCCCGAGTTCGAATCCCGGAGAAGGCATGGATGTAAAAATTATCTGTCCCTTCATAGAAGGTAATGGTGGCCGCTATTAGATGCCTCCACAATAAAATGGCCACCACTTCTGGCCTTAGGAGTGGCCAATGCCGTTATAGGCAAGTGCACGCCATCAGGAAAAAAGTATGTAGGGTTCTGGCATTGTGAAAGAACAACGATACCTACAGCCATCAAATTTCTAATAACCTAGTCCACCCGAATATGGGCACCTGAAAGCCCGAATCTCGAATTTAGAATTTGTTTTATTATCTATTTCATATTTTTTAAAATTTAACGAATTTTTGATTACGACACTTAACGATTTGAAAGCGAGCAGTGGCAACATACTGTACGGAATAAAATAATTTTATCTCCAGCGCGAGAGACTGTGCATCGGAAATTCTAAAGATATGCTATTTTTAAATATTTTTAGCCCAATGTGGTGTAAGCCCAAATGCTCTCGAAACATATATGTGTCTCTAAGTGAAAAAAAAGCCTGCTGGGCGTAATATAAAATCTGAAAGCTTTCAGATTTTTTTTAAAGGAAGTTTTCTAGAGGAACTGACATTTCCTGACATCCTGGACAAGGACGTATATTTTTGCTAATATGAATAACGGGTAGCCAATGAATTTATAAGTTTTCATTTAAATGACTAATTAATTTTACGTTAATTATTTTTTATCTTTTCTGTTTTCCCTCTTCCTTTAATTCAGCAATCTATAAGACCCTTGCCGTCTCGAATGAGCTGTGCATTTGAATTGCTACTGCAGTATTGAAAAATGGTTAATGGAATTTCGGTAGAGACTAGTTTAGTTGTGACGATAATAATTCACTGGAAGAAGATCTAAATTCGGATTCAGTTGAAGCCAAGTCTTTAAACTAATTAAAGGCTAAATTTGCTTCTCGTTAATGATGAAAAATAGTACTTATAATTCCAAAGAATATGAAATTACATATAAAAAATAAGGAAGGTCTCCAATCAGTATGCAATAAAAGATTTGCTTCAAAAAATGTTTCAAGATATTGTAGATAAATTCTTTTTTTTTTTTTTTTTTTTTTTTTTTTTTTTTTTTGTAGCACAACGCTTAGTATTTCATAAATATAATAGCATTAGCAATCAAGCTGGTAAATAATGACTTAAAATATATAGTTATCATTTGTTTGTAATTATTATTTCAACAAGTTACCACTGTGATTACACGTGCCCAACAACTTCTGCATTTAAAGGTAAAAAAGATTTGATTAACAACTAACTTACCGCACAACCGGGCTTCAAAGCTGTGCAGAAAGGTATTGGAGTCAGCAAGTGACCACCCTGTCAAAGAAAAATGTTTAAATTTCATTTATCAGTTTCTTTCAGATACATTCTTTTATAAGAGAAGGGTCATGAATTATAAAGAATTTCTCTTATTTAAGCGATTGGGAAAAAAATCTATTTTTATTTTTTTACATAATTTTCCAAGTAAATATTTTTGCCTTATTACGAAATGTAATTGCCCATAATGAACAATAACAGTATAATAAAAATTAATGCTTTGTGAGTAACTAAATTGCAATTGAAAATGATCTAATAACGTACAATAAAATAAAAATTATAATTAACACATATAGCTAAAGTAAAATAAGAAATGATTTAGTAAAATACCATGATACAATGAAATTAACAGTTAATTAGTAATTATAATCAGATTAGAAATGCTCTAATACTTAAAATTAGGAGTTCCTAACATTTTTCTATCTGACGATTGCTAAATGTGAAACATTTTCCTTTCAGGCTATCTTAGAAATAAGTTTACAGTTTTAGCACTTTTAAACCTTTTTATTAATAAGGTAATTACAATCCTAATGAAAAAAACATTATTGTAATTAAATAACTACTTTGTACAGTTAAAGAAAAACATTCTTTAAATAAATGATTTGGACATTTAAATAAAATCTAATTAAAAAAGTAATCCGCGGTCCAATACTCTCCAAAAATAAGAAAATTTATAATTTTTTACCTACTGCTAATCACTTAACTATGGAGGAATTAAAAGCATATATCTTTTGTGGGTTTTATGGTACAGCGAAGCAATGAATTCAGGTATCCTGTGCTCGAAACTAGAAGAGGACACTGGTAATTTTTCAGGACTCCTAACCAGATCTAATGCCTCTGCGAACTTTTATGCTAAAGGAAATTATATTCACTTTATTTTATCCTCAATGTATAGTATTTAGACAATTTAATGATCATTCTTCTAGATCAATTTCGAGAAATCAAGTACGCTGAAATCACCTTATATCTAAGGCCATCTTGAACTCAGTTTAATATAATACTTACTAGTAATAATATCTTTCTTAATTTATTAATTAGTAATTTATTCATTTATATTATATAATAAATTCATTTATGTGATTCAACATTGCTGGCTATTAAAATTAGTTATATGACGAAGGGCGTGCACAACGAATCTGAAATTTGAATGAAAGGTAGAAAATTCTAGGACATGTAAGTAATTATCATTTCATGGTATGCGCTCATTACAGACAAAAGTAATGACATTTATAGCATAAATTGTATATAAAAAGCAGAGTGAAACGTCGATTTTTCCTTCCAAAATTGCATTCGCTGTTTGTGTTTTATGTTGCTGATCATGCTCTGCATGATGTAAGAAAAAGAAACACATAAATAAAACGACTTAAGAGGTGATTTCGTAAGAATCGCAGCCTATAGAATCTGCGGATTATCGCAATGAGCAGTTACTGCTCCCTTTTGTAGAGATTAAAAATCTTTTATAAGAATTTGCAATCAGTGGACGCAGGTGGGCCACACAGAGCGATATGCGGAAGTAATTTAAGTGCAAGTTGTTTGTTTAGTTATTTAGATAGGGCAAAGCGAACGAGGTTTATTTTCTCAAGGGGAGGGATGCCTTTGTAGAGAACCTTTTCATGGAAACTGGTTCGTATACGCTGATAACGTAAAAGCGCGTTGGACAGCTACGTTTCGAGCGTACTCGTGTGGACGGGCCTTTACGCGCGAAAAAAGTGACGAAGGCCGAAATTTGAGCTCGGGTCCAGAAAGCAATGCCCCGCAATCCCACCGGCCGGCCGCTAATGGGCCATAGTTAATACATTGTTCATGATATTTATATAAGTGTAACGAAAATTTATCGTTTATTGTTTATCAATTATTAAACACGTTTTAAAGTTTTCATATTTTTTTTTAATGGAAACGCCAGGCAGAAATATATAGCTGTGTATTGTAGAAATACAGCTGTGTAGATTTGAAACGTAAATGTAATTCAGTAAATTATTCGGGTTTAAATAAATACCTTCTACATCGCATTTTTTTGCAGAGCTGTTTCCCGATTTTCCAAAATTTCAAAATGCTGATACTCAAGTCCGCAAATGTTTGATTCTCGGAGTGAAAATATAAAATAATAAGCAAATAGATATATACGAAATTTTAATTTGTATTTTTTACCCATTTATAAATTTCATGCATATTTATTCATGTTATATTTATTATTTTTTGTTGACAACGTATTTTGTTTCAGTCACATATACTGTAAGGATCTTAAGTTTTACTAACGTTTATTTTATTTTAAATCTTTACTATCACTTCTTATTTTCTACTTCCGGCCAGAATTAAAAGCGTTAACTTATTTATGCAAAATTTGTCTGGCGAACGCCAAGTACTTAAGTTGTGGCTTTTTGCCAAGCGAGAGAGAGGAAGGAGTTAGTCGAAGCAGGCCGTTTACCTTAGAAGTTTTACTCAGTTGCTGTTTGCCTTCCAGGCCAGAGGTTTTAATCCTCGTTGATAAATTTAAACGTATTGTAGTGTTAACAGTTCTCTGTACTACATACGGCTTCCTGTTAATATAAGGCCAATCTTCCACGTTTTATTATTCCAAATTTAAGTTAGAGTTTAGTTATATTTTTATATTCTTACGTTCAGACCACAAGTAGTTGGTCTCTGTATTCCGAAGTACGGAAATTATTGTAAAGAGTGAAAAATAAAGGGTTTTGTATACCCTTCCTGTGTACCTTGTCTAGCTTTCCCACAGGTTTATTGAAGTGGCGCCCACGAAGAAGAATAACCATGGCCGAGTTTCAAGAAGAACCTGTGCTGCCTGCAGAAGCGGCTCAGAATCCAGAAATGCCAGCTGCCGCCCTGGAAGGATTTGGTTACATCGTCCAGACCATGCGCGCTTCGATGAAACCAGAAGCAACATTTAATGGAAACTCACACTCACCGGTAACCAGTTTTTTGGAAAAATTGGATGACCACTTCATGCTCTACCCCGTGCACGAGTTTCAAAAAGTTACCTTAGCTACCAGCGCTTTGAGGGGCCAAGCGCTTAACTGGTTCAAATGTATAGGCAGAAGTCTCTTGGGTCAAGCAGGAAGTCCCACCTATACTTACGAAAATTTCAAGACTGCCCTAGTAAAAGCCTTCCCTGTCGTAAGGGATCGTGCGAAATTAGAAACGGAACTTTTCAGCATATATCAGCAAAGAATCGAAAATCTCTCAAGCTTTATTTTAAGAAAAATTCACGTCTTCAAACTCTTGTATGGAAACCGTCCGGATCCTGAAATAATTCAAGTGATTTTGCCGAGGTTACTTCCCCAAGTGCAAGACTTTATTGAATTAAGAAATCCGACTACACTGGAAAAGTTATTTGAGCTAGCAATCCAGTTTGAAAGTAGAAGAACGGCGGACATTGAAAGAAGACGCCAATATCAACAACGAAACCAATTTGGTACGCCAAGACCACAGCAAAGTCAAGCACACGGCTACGGAAGCAAAGCGAATCAGTGGGCAAGGAAACCCGAGCATTCAAAAACAGCCGGCGAACGTCGACAGTTCAATAGCAACCCAGGAAAAAAAGTCTCAAGGCCAGTGGAAAAAGAAGGAAAGCATGGAAAGAAAAATAATTTAAACTAAAACGGATTTCTGCTGACGGAGGGGTGCGGAAATCCGAAGGCCACGAAAACCCCTCTTCCTACAAGTTAAATACAGTAATGGTGAAAAATTTGACTCTTCCGAAGATTGAAGTCTTGGTGAATAATATCCCAGCCACCGCACTCCTGGATACAGGCGCGCAGTGTTCCTGTGTGGCAGAAGATTTTTTAGGAAAGTATTTTCGCAAATATCCGCATATATAATTCGGATAATACGATAGTGTTAGCTGCGCAAGGAGAAAGATGTAACTGCATAGTTCTTTCAGAGGCACAAGCAACGCTGGATTTTATTGAAGCGGCCCTTAAGCTGACAATGAAACCAGTTCGTGAAGAAAAGGCTTGAACCGCCGATGTTAAACCTTGACCACCTGCCTAATGAAGAGCAACGAAAAATCCGACAAGTGGTAAGTGAATTTGCTTCGCTATTTAGTGATATTCCAGGATTTACTCAGGTTACTAACCATAGTATTGACACCGGAGATTCAATGCCAGTTCGCCACAAAGCCATACCGGTATGATAAGAATAAGGAAAAAATTATAGAATGGCATATCACCGATATGCTACGTAAAAAGATCATAACGCCCATCTCAAGTAGTTATGCTAGCCCGGTGGTTTTATGTAAGAAAAATAATGACTATCCTTTGACACATCCAAAAAGGTGGAGATTCGCTATTGACTACCGTAAATTAAACTCCATAACTAAATATCCGGTATATCCGTTACCTATTATTGAAGAAATTCTAAGGAACATAACAATCAACCAAATATTATGACGACTTTAGACTTAACGACTGGTTATTTTCAAATAGGGGTTAGGCCTGAGGACGTGCCTAAGACTGCTTTTATAACCAAGTCTGGCACTTATGCATTTTTGCGTATGCCGTTTGGCCTTTCAGGGGCACCGGCAACATTTCAGCGATGTATGGACATTGTGTTAAGGCCTGTTCTTGGAAAGTCCACATTTATCTATTTAGACGATATCATTATTACTAGTGATAATCTCGACCAACATGTACAGGATTTAAGACAGGTGTTTTCTTTATTAAATGAGGCCGGTCTAAAAGTTAATGTCGAAAAGTGCAAATTTGCAGCCCCTGAATTAAAATATTTAGGTTACAAAATATCTCAGAAAGGAATCGAGACAGACGAATCAAAAATAATCGCTGTACAAAAGTATCCGACTCCAAACACGGCAAGAAGCTCTCTTCTTTTCTAGGACTTTGTTCATATTATAGGTCCTTTATAAAAGATTTTGCAGCTATTGCTGAACCATTGTTAAAATTAAAAAGGAAAAAGGCAAGATTCTCGTGGACGGCCGAAGCCAATAGTGCTTTCGAAAAATTAAAACAAGCATTAACGCAAGCCCCTGTGTTTGAAATTTCCTGAAAAGGATGAAATTTAGAAATTTCAGCGGATGCTTCGGATTATGCGGTAGGAGCGGTACTTTCGCAAAATCAGCAGCCCGTGGCATTTTTTAGTAGAACCGAACTTTAAATCAAACACAAAAAAACTATTCCGCGACCGAGAGAGAGGCACTTGCAGTTCTGTTAGCAGTGCAAAAGTTCCGAGTCTATTTTGGAAAGGCGCCAATAACAGTGTATTCTGATCATGAGGCGGTAACTAGATTGTACTCAGGGAATAACTTATCCCCAAGGTTAATAAGATGGGCACTCAAGCTACAAGAATATAATTTGGTAATGAAGCATACCCCCCCCGGAAAGGAAAATATCGTAGCAGATGCCCTATCCAGAATAAAAATAGATGAAGAAGGTAATACTGTAAAGGTGGCAATGCTCACAGCATGTACAATAAATTCCCGAGAAACTGTAATAACCGAACTGGGTAAGGATCCTGAGTTTGGAAGCATTTATGAGTATTTAAAGGATCCTGAAAATTTTAGCCACCAAGATATTGTGGCGATAAGAAATAGGGCGGCCCATTACAAACTAATAGATGGTCTATTATTTTATACAAAAACTACGAATTCCAACAACGAATTTCGACCTGTTATCCCAGCTAGTCTTAGATTAAATATCCTGCAGGAGTTCCATGACAGCCCTTTAGCTTCTCATGCTGGTATTCGAAAAACTATCCAACGCGTACGCGAGGCAGTCTACTTTTCCTGAACTGCAAAAGTTAACAAGGGCGTATGTCCAGTCCTGCCCAACATGTCAAGCAGTTAATTATATTAATTTCCGCCCGGCCGGGTTTCTAAATAGTATTAAATCCGAATTTCCAAATGAAATAATTGGCATCGATTTATTGGGCCCTTTCCCAAAAAGTCAGTTAAATAAAAGTCGCTATCTCCTTGTTATGGTTGATCATTTTAGTAAATGGACCGAAATTGTTCCCTTAAAACGAGCCTCCGCGAAATTAGTTACTGATTCTATTTTAAATAAATATATTTTAAAATACGGGGCGCCCCTAAAAATTATATCGGATAATGGTCCTCAATTTGTAAGTAATATATTTGAAGACATGTGCCAAAAACTGGGCATACGTCATTAAAAATGGTCCCGTATCGGCCGCAATCAAATATAGCGGAACGGGTCAATAGAAATATAGTGAAAATTATCCGTAGTTATGTTAAAAATTTTCATAAAAGCTGGGATAACTATGTCAATGAATTTGCTTTCGCCCTTAGGACCGCAAAACATGATACAACGGGCAAAACTCCTGCTGAGTTATTTTTAGGCAGAAAGATTATAACGCCGTTAGATAAATTATTTTATGTGCAACAAAGAGCCCCAGAATTTAAAATGGGTGATATAGAAAAACTAATTAAAGAAGCAAAAAAGAATACGAAGTAGCACAAGAGAAAACAGAAGCTTTATTATGATTGAAACGACGGGGAGTAACTTATAAAGTAGGGGATGAAGTGTTAAAAATTAAGCATTCACTTTCTTCAGCACCAGAAGATAAAACTGCCAAATTTTTTTCCACGATTTGAAGGACCATATGTTATAGAAAAAATAACTCACACGCTGTAGTGGTGTTAAAGGCCAGAAATGGTGAAACCTGCTTCCGCAAACATTGATCAAATAAAACCCTACTATGATCGTAATAAAATGCAAATTTTCAAAGATCTTTTGCAGGATCCGGCACGGCAGACACGGCAGGCACAAGCTCCAGAGGTGGAACAACGACAAAAGCACAGGGCAAGCCATTAGGAGGCAGGAGCAAGTGAAAAGAAAGTTTCCCCGTTGGAAAATTGAAGGTAACAAGAAAAAGAAGCCGTTCCACCGTCCAGAAAAGAGAGCTCACGAACACCCCCAGAATGAAGAAGGGAGAAGGACGACGAATGTGAAAGAAAGCCAGGAGAAATAACGGCAACTATAACCCGGCTTCCAAACGGAAGATTCTAACTCATCGGACAGGACTCTCCGCAGCAAAATGTCGCCGAACTGCGGAAGGGCCATCAGCGGCGGAGGAAAAGTTACAAGGAAAATTTGAACGGCCAGCAACGAGGTCCAAGCAGGAACACGAAAGAAGTTTCCCGGTTCCGCCAAGACCAGCTGCCATCAAACGGCCAAGACCACAGGCAGAGGAGAAAAGAAGGTATTCAAGGGTGGCCGTACTGGTGAAAAAAAGCTTCCAGAGGAAAGCACTGAAGGGCGAGCCCGTACAAGAAGGAGGATAAATCAACCAGAAATCTGCGCTACCTTCCAGGACTGGGCCCAGAAAAGAATGTCCGAATATCACAAAGATAAGTAAAATTTTATGTTACTTTGCAAACTTAAGTTAATCTTTCATTCTTACTGCAAGTGGCAGATTTCAAGAAGTTTTACCTCATGCGAGGTCTACCTTTATCGCCAAAAGGCGAGAAATGAGTTGTTACCGATTTTGGTATTATGTTTTTCAATTACTTACTCGCGCGTAAAACTAAAGTTGATGTATAATAGCGTTGTGTAAAGACTTAAATATTGTAAAAAGTTATTGTATAAATTTTATTTAAAACATTCTGGCAAGAAAGAAGTTTTAGTCTGAAAGACTTTTTGAAATGTAGTATTTCAATGTAGAAAGAATTGGCACTTGCTTTGAAAAGAATAGAAGTTAACAATGTACTACTAATGTATGTTTTAAAATGCGTAAAATTAACGGCATGTTAATATGTTCTTATATACAATGTGAACTGTTATTTTAAATGTTAAGAAATACTGTGATATGGTAAAAGTGAAAGTAATGCCAAAAAATTTTAAACTTATTCGTGTGACTGTAAAAAGACCAAATTATGGTGAATATGTGTTAAAGGTTGAATGAATGTAGTTAGGCTCTCTGACGCTACACTTCAGAGTTAGCCACTTTCAGAATAGTACCTCAGGGTTTAGAGTTGAAGATAGGGTGTGTTACGAGGTCTGGTTATGTTGAATTTTAACACGTTAGTGTTTTGATTGTAGGCGATAGTGTTGAACACTTGTACATAAACACGCTCGTGTTTGGTGTTTTTTTACAACCATGTCAGAGAGCACGAGAAACACATTTCGTGTTTGGTGTTCTTTTACAACACATGTCAGAGAGCACGGGGAGAGATAATTAAAATAGTCATGAATGAAATAAGAATGTTTAAGAGAAATATAAATATGCATGTTACTTGCCATTTCATTGTGTAACATTTCATTAAACTAGTTTTCCTTCCAGATCTCTGGAAGGAACCAGATTTGAATAAAAGCTCCTGTTTAGATGCAGTACAGATGAAAAATTGGGTGTCCATGGAGCTGCTATTGTAAAAACAAAAAAAAAAAAAATTTTTTTTAAATTTCTAGTTTCTAGTGAGAAATGTTTGTGTAAAAGATTGGCCTCGCGTTAGATTCTAGAGCTAAAAGTTTTCAACAAGGTCGTTTTAGACCTCAGTTTCAAACTAATTAACTCTGGCGGGAAGTATGTTATGATCTTAAGTTTTACTAACGTTTTTTTTATTTAAATCTTTACTATCACTTCTTATTTTCTACTTCCGGCCAGAATTAAAAGCGTTAACTTATTTATGCAAAATTTGTCTGGCAAACGCCAAGTACTTTAAGTTGTGGCCTTTTTGCCAAGCGAGAGAGAGGAAGGAGTTAGTCGAAGCAGGCCGCTTACCTTAGAAGTTTTACTCAGGTTGCTGTTGCCTTCCAGGCCAGAGGTTTAATCCTCGTGATAATTTTAAACGTATTGTAGTGTTAACAGTTCTCTGTACTACATACGGCTTCCTGTTAATATAAGGCCAATCTTCCGTTTTATTCCAAAGTTTAAGTTAGAGTTTAGTTATATTTTTATATTCTTAGGTTCAGACCACAAGTAGTTGGTCTCTGTATTCCGAAGTACGGAAATTATTGTAAAGAGTGAAAAATAAAGGGTTTTGTATACCCTTCCTGTGTATCCTGTCTACTTCCCACATTTATTGAACATAGCTTTAGTAAGCTCCCTGTTCCGAGTCAGGTCCTTGCATGTTCCCAAAGAAAGTAAGGCGGAACATAGAACCTGATAATACAACAGTTTATGAAGGAAGGCACATATTCTTTTTTTCAGTACAATCTAATTAAGGCAAAAAAATTGAAACCATTCTATTCATGTAAAATCAAATCCCATTAAAAAATTAGTTACTAAAAAGATGTGCATAAGGCAATTAAACTATATTAAAACAAATATATCTGACGAAACTTTGCTCTTTTGTCATTTATTTTAGAATGTTGCCAAAATTTTGACAGCAAGTTTGCTTTCTGCAATCCAAAAATTCACATTTGGAATATTTTAGAATTTTGCATTTTAATGCATTACTAAAATAAGATAAAATGAATTACTTACTGTTTCTGTTTGCCAGAAGGTATCTACAATGGGACATCGGCCTTCTCCAACGAGTTGGTGATACCAGAACCAGGCGTCTTCATTAATAGGCTCGCCAACTGAAGCTAAGACTCTCAGAGAGCTCCTGTTGTGCCTGAATAAATAAAAGTTATTCTTTATTTAGCGGAATAAGAAGAAGTTTTTATGAAAAATCTTTTGTATATTTCGAGTGTACTAGAAGTTGCTTATTATATTACATATTTTGTGACAAGTAAATTTAATAAATCAGTGTCTTTTAAAAGTAACATTGAGTATACAAATTAATAAACATGGGAAAAAAATGCCAAATTCATGCTAGAAGATTTTTTAAATTTAATTTCAATGGAAAAGGCTTACATTAAGTTAAAAATTTGAGCAGCGAAATAGTGTGTTTATACGTTAAATATATGAGAAGAAAATGAATTCCTTAATTCTTAATTTGAAGGGGAAAAGAACATTTGGATGTAAAATTATGTTACAACAATAATATAGAAAAATGCTTTTAATTTTACTTTATTTTAAAAAGCAAAAATATTGTTTTCTATGAACTAAAAGATTTTCTACTGTAAAAAAAAAAAAAAAAAAAAGACTATTAAAAATTTTGAAGTTTCAGTTAAGTGGCGCCATCTAGCGAATTTTACTCTTTAAAATGTGTTAGGTTGCGTTTCCTGCAAATATTTAGGTAAATGACCAATAAATATTATGATAAAATTACGTTGGCTGTGAATAATTAAAGGCACATAGTACATTTAAAAATATCTCATTAGCTTCTTAAAATTAATTAAAACAAATTAATACAATCCAAACAAATATTTATTGAAACAAATATTTTCTTTCATTCAGACTTTCGCTAACCTGGCCTTTGCAGAATAGGACTTGGACCGTGTAAACGAACTGCGTGTAAGTCTGAAAACGTATATAAAAGCAACATAGATTGAAAGCTACACGGGCCGAACGGAAAACGCTGTTTTTAATAGTTTTGGGTACAGAGAAAACGAAAATATGATATTTTTTGGCCAGTAATATTGGGAAATGGAGAAGTTCATCTGTTTCTTCCCCCCCCTCCTTGCTTTTTTTCTTTTATTTTTTCATTTCTTTTATTTTTTCCTTTTAAGATATGTTTCATGCTTCTTAGTGCAAAATTTAAAGTTGTCCTAGCTTGACCAATGTATATTTTTGGCAAGAAATACTGCATAAAGCCTAAGCTTTCATATCCAGAATGGTTCTCAGTTTAAGTATAAAACTGCGAATGTTATTGGTAGGGGGGGGGAAACCGATAAGAAAGTTTAAAGCTTCTGTAAAATACATGCAGTTTTATAACTTATCAATGAGAACAAACGGAGGACTACTGAATTCTTATAATCGCTGAAAATGAGGGAATTTTTCTTTCTAAGAACAAAATGGAGTAAAGCTATTCTTCAGGTATCAATTGACAGGAACATTTCGGTCATGTGTGGATGATGAAGAAATACGTAGAAATTGGTGGAAATTATGTTGAAATATATTGAATAATTAAATCTTCACAAAACAGTAAAAACGTTGAGCGAAAATTGAGTGTGTTTTGTATCTGTCCAGGTAATAAATATTAAGATTTCTTCTCAAAGGAATTCTTAGTTAAAATTATTAATTTTCATTAAATTATTTTTAAGCACTTACCTAGTAACGTAGGAATCATCATATCGCATGAGAGTTCGAATAGCGGTAGGTGCTGTATAGAATTGTGTTACATTATATTTTTCAACGATGGCCCAGTATCGTCCAGCATCGGGATGAGTGGGTACACCTTCGTACTAAAAAATATAAATAATTAGACTTAAATATACGAACGCATTATATAAATTATTAATATATATCTGGGCAAATTTTAATAGCCTTAATGCTAATTTTAAATCTACTGGCTTAAATCCTGCAAAAGCTCACTTGATAAAGCAATAAACTAATTCTTTGTTTTACAGAGAAAAGCTTAAGAAATCACTAGAAAGATGTATATAGGTAGCAAAGTTTTGGGCTGTAAAGCAAATTTACATTATCCGTGTTTTAAAGTATCCCTGCAAATCTATTAAATATTCACTGGCTTTATGACTTTCTTTTTGTTAAAAATATTTTTTAATATAATAATTTTTTAATAATCATCAACTAGAAAAGTGGGCGATTCAAATGATCCCAAAGTGTCATTCATAGAGATTGATAATACCAATTTTTAAAAAATCAGGAATTTATTAGCGGAAAGCACTCCAGCCATTGAAGATGAAGCCATTGAAGACGTCCTTCGTGGTGACGCTACGTGGCTGTCATACATTGGAAAATCCATGAAATCTAAAGGCACTGAGCTGCAGGAAATATCCTCGTTACGAGCTGCTTAGTTTTGCTGTTGAAATCTTAAAGGAAACACAGCGTCCTAGATAAAGTTATAGATATTTCGAAGATGTGAAAGAAATTTCAATAAGAGAAGAAAGTTTGAAAATCAAGGAAGCCGCAGGAAGAAAGTGTTTTCTTAAAACACACAAAAAATACATGTGATCAGAGCACACAATATTTTACTCTGTCGCGAAATGCACCAGGAAGGTTATTTGAGCCAAAGTATTACATTTGTTCTTATCCACTCACAAGAGAGCATCTTTTTACCTATAAAAACAGCTTTGGCTAACCCGTCAGATTGGGGCATTGCAGTATCTTTTATCAATTACGTGGAAGAAAATTATGGAACTATTAACAGTATTAGGCTTTTATCTAAAAATTATGTATAAGGGTCAGTCAAATGAAAACGAGACAGACTAGGAAAACGTAACCTATTTATTATTTCAAAAATAATCGCCATAACTGTTAATACATTTATCCCACTGTGAGACAAGATGATCAATGCTGTCATGGAAAAGTGTTTAAGTTGCGAGTGTTTCGGACGATGACAGGGCCGGATTTAGACTTGATAAGGCCCTAAGCTATTTGAGATATGAGTTTGTTATACTATATTTTAATACTATATTTTAATTTCTTTTGGGAGCCCCAAGAAATTTGGGTCCTATGCTATAGCTTGTGTAGCTTATACGTAAATCCTGCATTGGTAAATGCCTCTTCTTGGACAGACGTGCGTCTCTTCGTTCGAAGGAAATCGACGGTAATTAACGCCTTTCTTTAGGTTCCAAAAATATGGAAATTGCAAGGGTAGAGATCTGAACTGTCAGGGATCTGGATCTGACTGTCCGTCAGCATGACTTTCCCAGAGCTGGAGTGCACGGCTTTGGGTTTTTCCGTTGGGGATGAACACGTGCGATTTCCTATGACGCTTGATGTGTGGCTCAAAATGATAGCACCAAGTTTCATCAACTATATCACCATTTCAAGTTTCATCCGCAGCAGTATGGAAGAGGAAACAATATTCTTCAGGATACCGTTCCAGGTGCTGTAGTGATGTCGACATTCTGTTCAACTCCTGCTTTTTCGTCAGGCTGTGGAGAACTCATTGTACACAGATGTTCTATGAAGATGACATGAGTGGTATTATGATTAATGCCCAACCATGAGCCTAATGTCTTCCACCGTCGCCGTCGGTCTTCTCTGACGGCAACATCAACTGCAGCAATGACAGAAAGGGTAATGATGCGAAAAGCCTCCGCTGGCCGACTGCTGTCGTTCAATGACACCCGACATTCTCGTTATCGCTTATACCATTACAAAATACTTACACGTGACATTCTCTATTCGCCTTACACAACAAGCATTCGGGCATGAATTTTACTGCTTGACATTCCTCAAGCAAGCTGTTCCTCTTTGGCCTTCCCACAGTGATGGAAGACCCACACACTACTCTCTGACCCTGTAGCAAGCTGTTCCTCTTCCCTGGCCTCCCCACAGTGATGGAAGACCCACACACTACTCTCTGACCTCACTTTAAGCCTGTCTAGCAGACAAATGACACAGTGGTGAGCATACATGCTTTTCCTTCCTGATTCCCAATAGAGGATACTTCTAAACACAAACCTACCTGTAGTACCAAATTCTGAGCCATATTCAGTATATACTCTGTCTCATTTTCATTTGATTGCCCCTTATAGTTTGTAGCTGATTTATGTCAAATTACAGAGGCTTTCAATTATGCGCACTGTTTTCTATAATCATTTCAGCTCTTGAATTAATTCTTATCACCCTTATTTTCAACTATCTATATATTTCCGATTATTTGCAATGTACCACTGAGCAATATTTTTTGTGTCATTGTGCACCGAAATATCTACAACAAAGGTTCAAGCCAGGGTCCATAAGCTTTAATTATATAAGTAAATCACTATCTTCAATAACCTCTGGTACAAAAGATGTCAACGGTCTGAAGTATCCGTATTTGTAAAAACTGTAAGAGATTTTAAGCACTACTTACCCAAAAGAGAAAATGACGTAGATTATTTTTAAAGCATAAGTTCTAATAGGCAACGGATTTACGGAGGTGATTATTATTTTGGTACTGTTAATCACATTACTAAGAATAGACAGAAGTGATTTGTAGATAAAATGGATAATCTCATTAATTACAGTATATTAAGTGTAGTCCAAAAACATTATGCTTTTGACTCAAAGGCATTGTGTTTCTTCAACAAAGAAGCACATAGATACAGAAATTGCAATTTACCAAAGAAAGTGACTAATAACGTTTCTGTCAATACCAATTATACAAGAAAAGCAAGTGCGAAAGCGTATCGTTTAAAATCTTATAGGATTTTTTTGATGTTAATGTAAGATTTAGAAATTTTTAAAGTGAAGTGCGAAATTTTTTTTATATATAATGTGAACTTAATAAGGCGATATCTAATTGGCAGTTCTAAACATGCGCGAAAGGAGACGCAATAAAGGATATATCTTGAACTGTCATTTTTATAGTAATTAAACTGATTAAAAATGAAACGTATTTTATATATTTGTCGATGTTACTAAAGCTTAATGTCAGTTTGGAAAGTGGAAAAATTCTAGAAAATCGGTAAAATAAGCAAACCTTGCAATGCATTTAAAATTAGAAGAGACAGCGAAAGATAAATAATTCTCTCTTTTTTTTTCTGTTTTTCAGCTGACAAAAGAAGGCATCTGACTTCATTCTTAAAACGCATTAGATCGAAAGCGGTGGTTACTTATGATTTCTTTCCTTGCAACAGAATCTACCCGTTCTCAAGTAGATCGTTATATAAAATTTTAATTTTGCAAATTATTAACATTAACTTATATAAAATCATTTATTCATAATAAATATATCAGCTTGCTTAAAAGTTGAGATTGTTTTTTCAGAATGATGTAATTAATACTTACTAATATACAAGTTGCCGTATTTAGGAGAGATCCGTATACAATATACGTGTGTCCGGTTAGCCAACCAATGTCGCCGGTGCAGAAGAATACGTCTCCAGGAAAGTAGTCAAATACGTATTTGAAAGTAAGAGCACCGTACACCATGTACCCTCCTGTCGTATGAACGCAGCCTTTAGGTTTACCTGTCGAGCCACTAGAAACATACAGGAAAAAAATGAAGAGAAAAATATCAAAAATAATTTTATATTCATGATTTGGCATTTCAAATAAGTGGCATGGAAGATGTTAATCTCTACATATAATAAAAGGAAGAGTCTCTCTCTGTGTGTGTCTTTCGTTCACGCTGCGCGTAAGCTAATAGATCCACGGCTACGAAATGTGGTACATAGGTGCATCTAGACCAACGACTTCATATACTATCTCGTTGATCTAGACAAGAGCCAGTGCACCTCGAAGCGATTTTTTCGAAATTCGAATTCGAATTTTTTTTATTTTATGTTTTGTGACGAAATCGCGTCATTTTGAGGCATAATGGGCTATAGGAAAGGGAGATTTTACTCTACGCACTCCATTTTTACATCGTCATGAAATGTAGGCACTTAGCTATTTTACGAACTTAAAATAAATTTTGTGTTTCAATAAATCGATTAAATACGAATTTATTTAACAAAGTGAACTTAACACCTTTTCAACGGGATTTTTTCTGAAAACGTTTATATTTAAAAATGTACAGTTTATTTTTCTTTGATTTTTGGACACGTTAAACTTTCATCCTTGCGACTGCTTTTACAAAAAGAATTCTAGAAAAATGATAATACGAGTATTTTGTATTTAAAAACTTTTTTAAAATGAAAGCTTCCTGAGTACACTTCTCACATCTCACATCTTTACTCTGAAAATGTGATTTTGGAAACAACAAAAGAATTTTTTTTCACTTTCTCTATTGTTGTACACAATGGGCGATAGATTTTTGATAAAATCGCATCATTTTGAATAGTTTCATTCTTTTAGAAATGTGGGTTTGGCAACAATTTTTCCTCGTATTTCTTATGTCACTGTTTTTAAGAGATTGGCATATTTCATTGTCATTTTTACTTCCTTGTACGAAGTAAAAAGGAAGTATTGTAATCGCGAAAAGTTTCAGGCAGCATATTTCAACGAAAATATCCATTTTGACCGCTATCGAATGCAATTTAACGATGTTTTTGCGTGATATCTGTACGTAAGGACAGAATAAAAGGCTCGTTTCCTCCAAAAAAAAATATGAAACTGCTTTAAAATTAATTCTGAAGAGAATTTTTTCGTGGCGTCTGTACGGACGTATGTACGTGCGTACGTACTTCGCGGTTATTAAAAATGGAGAGCTGTATGAAAGAACAAACCATTTTCATTTCTCGCATAACTCGAAAGCGAGTAGCCTCAGAACGTTGAAATTTTGTATATAGGACTGCTATAACATGTAGATGTGCACCTCGTATTTTGGTTGCAATCGGCTGCACCAAACGTATATAAATACTATATTTATATATATATATCCACTCTGTTACTCGGCACAGTGATCTCAGTTTCTTTACTCTTATATGTTTGTAAATTGCACATTTTTTGCTTTAAAAATGATTGAATTATGTTTTTCTTATCTTCCGGTTAAGGTTTTTATGCCTTTCGTAATTCTGGAAGCAATATTTCTACAATTATCAACAATTTAAAAGCTGTTTAAGTGCGGTTAAGTTTTAAATAACATGGCGGACATATTTGTTTACATTTGAAACAGCAGAACTGTAGATTTGTTGCCAATCTAGAGAGACTAAGCTTCGCAACAACAAAAATAACGCCTTCATTTGTTATTGCAAATTAAATCATGCTTAATCCTTTCTGGAATTTTTTCGAGGAAATAAGTGTTTAAGATTTACTTCGTAATTTTTAATACAGATATTTTGAGTTTTTATGTATTTTTGCCTTGTCGCGAAGTGAGAATTGAATTAATTGAATGAGAAATACTGAATCGTCTGTGAAAAACTGTTTCTTTCCTGTTTTGTTTGCTTAATTTCTTTCATACATCGTTCTAGCTTTATTATAGTATTTGAATAGAACATGTGGCAACGATAAGATAATTCTTTTAATAATATAAATTTTGTGCATTCAGAGTGTAGTTATAGCCTTCTCCCCAGTTTGGGAAAGGTATTTGAGCGTGTGCTCCAAAAGAGATTAACTCAACATCTAGAGGATAAGAAAATTATATGTAAAGAGAGCAGTTTGGTTTTAGAGCCGCTCATAGTACCGAGCACCAACTACTGACCGTTACAGAATTTATTGCAGACTGCTTCGCAAAAAAGAACACAATCGCCAGCTGCTTTGCTGCACCTTGTTCATCTGCCCATCAGTTTTATTAAGCTCATGAAAAGCTATCTTAAAAACAGAACCTTTCAGGTAAAAATTAATGACTCTCTCTATTCAAGAAAAAGAATTAAAAGCGGAGTGGCTCAAGGAAGTGTTCTGGGACCGCTTCTGTTTAATATCTACACGAATGATATGCCGGTTCCTTTGAATGCAAAAGTAGTGAAATATGCCGACGACACAGCAATTTTAACCAAGTCGCTAAAACCTCAGCTCGCTATAGATAAACTTGAAAGCGCAGTAAATATCATAGCACACTATTATGATTCATGGAAATTAAAAGTAAATCCGTCAAAGAGCCAAATTCTCCTTTTCAGACGTCATCGGAAGTTCACTCCTGTAAATGTAAATATAAAAATTAATGATCAAGCCCTTGCAATTGTTTAATGTACCAAGTATCTAGGAGTGGTCTTCGACTCACAGCTGTTATTAAGAACACACGGAGTATGCCTTGCGCAAAGCCACCGTTGCTAAAATGTCTCTTTACCCCTTTAATAAGAAGAAATGCTAAATTAAATATCAGTCTCAAGAAGAAGATCTATACCAGCTTAATAAGACCCACCCTACTTTATGCAGTGCCTATCTGGGCCACTGTGTACAAGACTTATAGACACAAACTACAGGTCTTTCAGAACAAAATACTCAGACAAATTGTTGACTCCCCATGGTTCGTACGTAACCTGCAGATACATAAAGAACTAAAAATAAGACCCATAGCTGATCAAATTCTCACCACGAGCCACAATTTCTATGCTAAAATAGAACTTTCTCAATACGAACATATCCGTAATCTGATAAATTATGATCCTACTATATAGAATTGCAGCAAAGCGCCCAAGAGGCATCTTCCATAACAGCAAATGGTGAAATGTGTATATATTGTACATAGTACTATTATTTTTATTTTAATCTTCATTGTGTCATTTTTACCAGTGTCTTTGAAACTTTATAGACTTATGGACATGATCCGTGTACCTGGATCTTCAAAGCACAGATTTTATATTTGTCATTTTTTAATTACCAGTTTCAATCTTCTTATTGTTATATCCAGAGACTTTGTAATATTGGGGACTTATGGACATGATCCGTGTACCTGGATCTTCAAAGCTTTGATTACTTATTGCTATCTTAGTGTAAAGTGTTATTCACCATTTGCTACTTCGCTCAAACACCGCCGTCCCTATATGTACATAGTGTATAGTTTCAGTAACTCATGTGCCTCAGTGTTTCTGTGCTATACCCTGCAAGAACTTTAGTGTTTTAATTTCTTTGACTAAGACTTCACTGAATTGTGATATATCTACTATTTCAAGATGCATTGGCCGTGGACAGTTCACGGGAGGGTGACCCCCACGTGACTACCACTGTCCAATCTGTGTTTTACAGCAAGGATGAATTTGAATATTTTGTTTAGCTAATCTGTTGCAAACTTAGTTGTGCCATTTGTCCTTCATTTAGATCGCGATATTAGTTTAATTATTCCAATCTGGATAACCTGTTTCAAAACTTGATAATTATTAATTTATCCAATATTTCTCATTGCACGCGTAAGCTGCTTTGCTCGGAGTCTGAACTTGGGTGGGTGACCACCCACGTGACAGGCTCCTGCCAATCATCTCCCTCCACTCCACCTACATTTCACAAAATTTGACAAGTTTCGCCTAGTTGGCGCTGCGTAAATCGCCTTAATTAAAAACTTAAGTACCAACGCCTTAGGGCAATTTACCAACAGAGACGGTTAAAGTAGCGGTTGGCTACTAATTGCCGCCTAGCCATTGACTCGATTTCGATTTGGTGTCGTTATAGTAAACAAATACAGCGAATTTTAAAGAGTGCATTTATTCTATTGTGGTTTATGCACTGTCGACGAATTAGATTTTATTCAATCCAATCAATTTAAATGAAATTCAAGAAACAAATGCGTATACTTTAATATTCCGTACAAGGAAGTCATGTGGTGTACACATCAGATTTTTTTTATATATGTAATAGAGTTTTATTGATGTTTTTTTATAAAGTTGTTCTGCAGAGTAAAATTGTGCGCGGAATTTTTTGTTGAGTTTCTTTCATGTTATTGTTTGCTCATTTCACTGTTTATAAGATATTGAAAAGTTTTGCATGATTTTTTTTTCTTCAACGGAAAGTTGGTTAATTTTTTTTATTAGGATAATTAATATTTATATTAAAGGATATAGCTTATTTAATTGTATTTTTTTCTCTTGAAAATATAAGATAAAAATATCATTAATTATACTTTGCTTTTAAGAATTTTTTGTTTTTTGTATTCTTTTATGTTATTTATTGTTCATTTCACTGTCTTTAAGATGTTGAAAAGTTTTGAGTGACTTTTTTAGGAAACAAAGTTCTTAACCTCCTTTATACCATTTGAGTTCTTAAGATTTTGCAAAGTGAAGTTGGTTAATTTATTTATTAGGATAATTAATATTTTTATTAAGGGATATTGCTTATTTCATTGTAATTTTGTTATACGTAATAACTTTTTTTTATAAAGTTTTTCTGCAAAGTAAAATTCTACGCAGTTTTTAAACTTAACGTTTGGTGTACACTTCAGCCATTTTTCCGGCACATTTAAAAGCCAGACGAAGGCTGGCGGTGAAGCTGCTAGTAGTAAAATATAATTTAACGAACAAAGTTTTACATAAAGTACCATGTATCTCATATAGTATCTGATACCAGATATCTTACAGATGTCTTTACAAAATATGTTTCTGTTGTAAAACTAATCTGGAAAATTCTAACTTCCATTAAAAAAAACAAACATAAAGGGTACCCTCGAAT